TCGTCAGTCTCCAATCTTCTGAAGCATAACGAACAAGTTCTTACATGGAGAACAAATTCTTACATAGTGAATAAGTTACATGGTGAACTGTACAAGGGCAGTCACCACAGAAACTTTCGGTTTTGATCATGCATTATGAACTATAAACAATCAGTCCAAATATGAATATTTGTTTGATTTTTATACTTGATTTATATGTGGATACCACATTTCTCTCTTTATTATTATTATTTTTAATAAAATGCTAAAGTGGTAGGTAGATGCAAGATAAAGGTAGAAAACATAGTTTAGTGTTGTAAGAGAGCAAATGTAGATGATCAGGTGTGTGCCTGTAGACTATGTGTTAATCCATACAAGCCACTTTTGAAAAACATAAATAGCAACTTGTCCTAAGTAGTGACGTCTGGGAAGTCACAAATTTTATGTGGTGGTTGTATCCTTCTCGTAAAATAATAACACAACCATTAAAATACAAAGTGTTCTTCCACATCCCACCTAAAGTTGTCTGGTGTAGCTCCATGGTACACATACTGCCTTTTAGGCTACATGGACCTACATTACTTCATTTAATTCTCCCAGCTACCTTAGCCCTTGGCACTAAAATTATTCCTACCTTATTGCTGAAAGAACTGAGTCCCAAAGGGACTAAGAGACAAGGGTCAAGGTCACACAGAGCCAGAGTTCCAATGCAGGTCTCTTGACTTCCCAGTTCAGAATGCATGCTTGTCCCCATGGTTCCATGTCTGGTTTGCTCACTTCCTTCTCCCCCACCTTTCACCTCTGCCTCTGCCTTCCTCTCCTGGCCTTGAGCTATTTTCTTGATGTTCTCCTTGACCCAGTACCCTTCTCTCTACCTACTTCTTCACTTTGTCCCCTCAGCCCTGACGCCTCAATTCTTGCCTCTCCAGAATGTGGACATGCTCACTTCAGGAAGGTGCCCCCCCAGGAGCATTTACCTCCTCCAAGGACCCTGATTGCTGACCCCACAGAAGAGGCACCTTCAGACATGGGAAGTCCTGGGCAGATGTACCTGCCACCCACCTTGAAGTCTACCCAGCAGCCAACCATTCCAGCAAGAGTACCATCCTTGGACAAGCAGCTCACCCATACCAGTGAAACCACTACTTCCACTGCAAGCCACAGCCTGGGTGTTGGGCCTGGGGTTGGAGAGAACCAGAAGCAGCTGAAAGAAAATGTGGCTGGGCCATCAGCCATGGTGCCAGTGCTGTGCCTCCTGGCCATCGTCTTTGTTCTCACAGGAGCCCTCCTGTATGTGCTATGCAAGAGGAGGAGGCAGCTGCTACAGTACTCTCCAGGTAAGCTGGGCCTCTGAATCCCTCTCCCAGGGACCCAGAGCCTCCCTGGTGGGGATCCTGCCCCCAGACTTCGTGGTAGCTGGAAACCTGATTCAGGCAGACAGATATGAAGGCTGTCTGCATCACGGACCATAGGCCAAGAGAGAAGAGTCAGTCAGACTACAGAATGGGGAGGGAAGAAAGCCACCACAGATGGGCCCAAAGACTCCTTACTGTTTGGCCTTCAAAGCCAGGCAGTGCTTGGAAAAACAAGATGGCGGCCAGACAGGCTAGTGGGAGAGGAGACTGTAGATGGTGGAAGCCATGCATTTAATTCACAAATCTTTATTGAGCACCTACTGTTTACCAGATCTGGTGGTTAATGTTTCTGAGTTTTGATTCCCCAGTTCATGCTATCACCCCATGTCCCCGGACCAGCTTCCTTTGATTTCAGAGCTCACCTCTCAGTTTATCTTTTCCAGATTTGCAGCTTCATTATGCACCTGTGGCACCAGACTCCACCGCTGGAGCTAAGAATGGAAGCTTGTGAGGGTAATGATTATGATTTACTCAGTACCCCTGCATTTAATGCACTAGAACAAACTGGTACACAGTAGGTGCTCTGTGCGTATTTAATATTTAACACACGATTAAGCACTCACCTCCCTCTCTTCTGTTTTGTTTTCTATGCCATAATGTATAATCTTCCTTTTACACTGAGTACTATCTTGGACAAATCCTGTGTTATTTTAACTACTAAAAATAATTTTATTTTTATAATTTTTGACTCTTCTTGCTGCAGACCCTGGCCTCACGTGCTTGCCCCTTTGCCTCAGCTTCTCTGCTGATGGTTCCCCATTTCCCAGGTCTCTCTTCACATTACACCAGTTGTTCCTCTCCGGCTTCAGCCCTCTCCTGCTTCCTCCCTCGACCTCACAGTGAAGGCTTGGGCTTCCCATCCATTATCCCTCTTCAGCAGCCATAGACAGGCTGGTTTTACTTCCTCAATCCTTTGCGTCACCCATATGTGCCCCAGTGAGTCTGAGCTCCTTGTTTTTGTTACTGTTTTTATTAAAACCCTTAGTTCTTGTTTTGTCTCTTCCAATGAAGAAGAAAGTGTTCTCATTGATCTAAGTCAGTGGAAACCTGTGGCAGGGACACGAAATGTATGATGAAGTGGGTTAAGCATAGCCCACTATGAATTGCCATCTCCTGTCTGAGCTGGTCAGTGCTTTTGTGAAAAAGTACAGAGCAGGAGCACCCTGCTGGAGGAGCCAGGGCTTAGTTGTAGGCTGGCTGGGTCTTGAAGTTTCTCCATTCCCACTGTTTGCTTCTTTGCCCTCATACGCTCTGACCTGCAGGGCACACATGCGGCAGCCCACGCTCCCCATCCTGCAGGTCTCCAGGTTCCACCCAGGATGCAGGTGATGTTCTCCTTCCAAGCTCTTGCTCCACCTGCCTGATCTAGTTTTCCAGCATCTGCTCACAGGTTCGGGCCACATCACTGAGCTTAAGGCGGGCATAGTCCACTCGCTTCAGGGCCATCTGACAATCCTTCCTTGAAGAGTAGCTGGATCCCTCATGGGGCTGCCCTGTGGCCACCTACAGAGCATTTAGATTAATCAGTGAAGCACCCGTTCTCTTACCCATTTCTCCCACAGGCATCAGGTCTTGTTTCATTTCTTCCTTGAGTTTGAATCTCACATGGTAGTAGCTGGATAATCTAGGGGGAGTCACTTCTGTTAACCTCACCTGTAAAATGGCGGGTGACTGTAACTACTTCCCAGAGTTATAGAAAAGTGTCTGGTACATTGTAAAAATTAAGTAAATGGTGACTGCTATTGTAAAGACTTCAAAATCCTCTCAATTCTGTTCCTTTTCTCAGGATTTGGACATCTGGGTTTTCTAAGGGCAAAGTCCTGTGGCTCAGGCACTGTTTACAAGCCATCTTCCAGAGTTTTCCCTGTGTTGTGACTCATGTGATACAACCCAGTGAGGTAGCCAGGGCCTCCTGTAATCTTTCCTTTTGGAGGAAACTGGCTTTGGAAGGGGGTGGGGGTCCTACCAGGGTCATTCGGTAAAATTGCTGGTGGTGCCGGCTTGAGCGACTTGGTGCTTGCTGCCTAGCGCCCGCCAAAGCTCTGCAAGGGGCTTCCAAAAGCCAAGAAGGCTTAGGCTAAGGCTAGGGAGGACAGCAGGGTGGACGCGCAGCACCTCCCACCATACACACACCTGGGTGAGGTAGCGGATCTGACCTGACAGCTCCGCCTCCACGTGTTGCACCGATGCCGTGAATGCCGCCGCCTGGCGGTCTAGGAGTCGCTCATTGGTTTTTTCCTTCGACAGCTCCAGAATCACCGTACCTGCAGGGGCGGAGAGGGCAGGGCTGCCCTAGACTGCCAATACAGTCCCGCCCCAGGGTCAGCTCCACGCACTCCCGCAAGCGCCGCCATGCACCTAGGGTCCCAACCCAGCCCGGCTCCTAGTCTTCGGTCGGGGCATGGGCAGGCGGCCCGGCTTCACTCTCGCTCTGTCCTTCGGTCATCGGGTTCGAACCTGCATTCTGGAGAATGGCGCCTATTTCCCGTTCAATGTCTTCCAGTGCGCGTAGCCGCTCGTTCGCCAGGCTGTAGGTAGCCATTGTCACTCTGGGATTCCTCCACGGGATTTTCTCCTTTCGCGAAATGCGACGTTGCCACCCGGAAGTGGCTGTCGGTTTGCGCCAGCGCAGAGCGCGCTCTCTGACTGATACTACAATTCCCAGGATGCACAACGCAGCCTCTCTTCACCCGGCGAACTACAACTCCCAGGGTGTTCTGCGCATGCTCAGGGCTCCGCCGCTACCACGGGCCCACCTGTGGTGAGAGGTAGTAGCAAAACAATCCCTAGCCTGAGGCCACTCAGACCTGCCCACTTTCACGACACTCTCTTGTGGTCTGTATTTAATTTCCTATACAGGAAATCACTGAACGTTTGCTGGTGCTGGGTGATGATGGTGGGAACTCTGGGGTATTCCAGACTGGACAGCCATGCACACTCTGCTCACCCCGCCCCACCATGTATGAGGGCTTGGAGAAAGCTTGGCTTGGTGAGTGTTAATTATTCGCCTTAGCACTTCCTCCTAAACAGGGGCCGAACTGAAACACAGACTATCAATATACTCTCAGAAGCTGGCTCCTTTCAGCATTTCCCTCGTTCCCATTCTGGTTGCTTATTATGTGATGGGTTCTGGGGATGCAAAGATGAATGTAATGAGATGGACTCAAATGATAGTGGGATAAATGTTCTGTTAGAGATATGCCCATGGTGTATTGCTAGGAGCACAGAGAAAGGATTCTGAAAGTGCTGCTTCTGGAGAAGATTCTGGAACTGAATCTTAAAGGGTAACCAGGGATGAAAGGTTGGAGTGAAAAAAGGAACCGGCATAAGCACCATACCTGGTGCTGTGAAGGGACCTAGCACATTTGAAATACAGCAAGGGATTCAGTTTGACTGGAGTGAATGAGGCTTGGAGGCGGTTAGGTGTGTCAGTGGCGAGACAAGTGTGGCGAGGCAAACAGGAGGAGGCTTGCAAGCTAAGTAATTTGGAATTTGTTCTGAAAGCATTTGGGAACCTTTGAAGGGTTTTCAAGGAGTGTGTTATGACCTGATTTACCTTTTTTTCTTTTTCTTTTTTTTTTTTGAGAGGGCATCTCTCATATTTATTGATCAAATGGTTGTTAACAACAATAAAATTCTGTATGATTTACCTTTTTGTAAAGATCAAGCTTGACGGCTTATGGACGATTGAGAATGAAGCCAGTTTGTACAGAGTTAGCAAATGAATGGAGACTTTTCAGTTAAACACGAGGACTCTAGCATTTAACTTCATTCATTTCCTAAATCCTAATAAAATAACAACAGGGAATTTTATAAAGGGGTCAAAGAGAACGAGAAAGGATTTAAGAGCAAAACTTTAGATAGAAACTGAAAAACAGTGGTAACTGATTTTAGTAGTGCAGTGGTAACTAAGCCAGCAGTGAAGAAAGCTTAGAAGTAACTTGATTTGCCTTAAAATAGTGGCATCACATACAATTGGAGTGTAGGTGTTACAAAAATTAGGAGTATTATTTGAATGAGGTAGGTGAAACACACACGCACACACACACAGGATCTCCTTCTTTACTTCATATATTTTGGCAACTCCTCATCCCCAACCCATCAGATTACTGGAGGTTTCTTTGTTGGAAATGGAAAACAGAAGCTCCTTGTCAGGTAGGGCACCTGAGCATGGTTGCATTGAAAATAGAGATTAAGTGGAAGTTTATTTATTGAGTGGTGGTTTCTGGAACTTTGGCAATCAGGCTTATACCCAGGTCGGATACTGGAAGACTCTTATCTGGGGAATTGGACTAGTCAGAGAAAAGACCTAAGGGTATTAACATCAGGGGTTCTCCCAACAAAGTAGTTAGTCAGATGACCACATAGTGAAGCCTGCAGTTGGTAAGTCCCAACTGTGTCCATAGATCTTCTAGTTAGTTTCTTAGTACCTCATCCTTAAATATGAGCAGACATAAGACAAAGGATTTTTAGATATTTAAAGGAACTTTCTACCATGAAAAGCAGAGACCAAAATAAACAGGAAAACAAACATCTTAGTATAGAATAAAATTTGAGGGGAAAGAAAGGTCCTGCCCTTCTTAGATAAGAGGAACTATAATAAAAGATTGAATCCAAGAAAAATAAAGCCATGACCGAAGGAATAAAAAAATCAAGCCAAGGGTTGAAAGAGAAATTGAGGAACTCTCCCAGCAAGAAAGAAGAGAAAAATAGAGAATCAGTCCAGGGCCTTAAAATTCTATAAGAAGAGAAGAGAGAAAATGAAGAGGAAGAAAGGACATGAAAAGGGCCCACTGAGTGCCCCACATAAGGCACATCATGAAATATCAGGACACTTGAAAGGAAAAGGTCTTGCAAAAGCTTCTAGAGAGAAAACAGACCAAAAGCTAAGGATCAGCAATCAGAATGGCAGAGGGTCTCTTAATAGAAACATTGCACTGGAAGACATCAGAATAATGCCTTCACCGTTTAGAGGGGAAGTGACTTCTAATCTGGAACCCTGTATTCCAGCTGTGCTAGGCTGAAGGCTAAAAATGTAGTGACTTGACAAAGCAGAACTTAATTTTTTCTCAAACAGTTTGGTGTGCCCCACAAACCACACAGAGACCAAGGCTGGCTGTGCAGCTCTGCCATCCTTCAGGGTCTTCTGCTTAGAAAATGTGATCTGCAGGCTGGCAGCATTGGCATTACCTGGAAGCTTGTCAGAAATGCAGAATCTCAGGTCCCACCACTACCTCCTGAATCAGTATCTGAGTTTGAAGATCCCTAGGTGATCTTTATGCATAGTAACATCAGAAACACTGCTCTACAGTATTGCTGTCTGTAATGTCAAAACTGGGTTGCTGCCACCCCTGAGTTGGATTTGGCAGGAAGAGGGAAGAGAAAATGTGGAGGAGGCACACCTGTCTCAGGGCTGACTAGGAACTGACCCACAAAATTGCTACTCACATTCTACTGAAGAAAACTTAGTGGTCTCACCTAACTCCAGGGTTGAAGAAACAACCAGTCCTAACATAAGTACGTATCTAACCATCTAACCTAGGTGGCCAGCTATTATTTTAGCACTGTGGAAGAACAGATTTTAGGGGATGTGTAGACTCGCAAAACAGCCAAACTACCAAGAACAAAGACAGAATAAAGACATTTTGATATGTACGGGGTCTCAAATTTCTCTCTCCAAGTAGCCTTTCTCAGGAGGTTATTAGAGTTAGGGAGGAGTTAGGGAGAGTTCTCTTCTTCCAGAAGAGAAAGGATCCAGGATCCAGGAACTAAGGCTGTTAGCTCTAAAGAAGTGAACGGGAATCCTGGGCTTTGGGTGAAAGGAAATCCAAGGTGATGGGCTAGAAGATTCTCTAGTTCAGAGTGGAGCCAATTAGAAGGCTCCTAGAGAGATTTCTTCAAGGAGATGGAAGACATCAATGTCTGTTTTGTTTTGAATGACTTGAGAGGATATATAGACTTCTGGAGGAGAGCATAGGGTAGCATTAGTGATAAATTCAGAGATAAGTGGTTTTAAAATGACGGTTATTCAAGGAAAAACAAGTTGTGCAAGAGGAGAAAGGTAGTATGTGACTCAGCTGGCTGACCCGTGACTCTGCTTCAGATAACATCCTCAGAGGCATAAGGTAAATGCTGGATATTGATCTAACCCCGACTGATAGCATTTTCTTGGGAGGATGGGATGCAGGGGCAAGGATGGAACGCGTTCCATGGTGGGGCAGAGAGGCTACAGGGAGCTCCGTCTCCACCTTGTAGGGTGGGAAGCCAGTAGACGATGCTTAAAACAAAAATCAGAAAGTAGCAAAATAAGCATGTTATTTAGCGATATGGAGGTAAATGCCAAAAGAACATCTAAGGGAGGTGAAAGTTGTTGCCTCTGAGGAGGAAATTAGAGAGGGAAGGGGTGTACTCTTTATTGTAACAGACCTTGTAGTCATATTTGACGCCTTCAACTATGTGCATATATAATTTTGAACATGAAAACTCAATAAAAATGGGAAGTGAGAGAGGAAATAAGTAGATGATGCTGATGCTGATGCTTTTTCACCGACTGTGTAAGAGACCTAAAGTGGGCACTGTCTGTCCTTTGGCTTCCTTCCTTCCTCCCTCCCTTCCCCCTCCTTTCCTCTCTTTAATTGAAGAGCTGTCTGTGGGTTTATTTACCACGGCAGAAGAACCAGTAGAGAGAGGCAGAGGTTGAGGAGATGGGGTGGTTTGGTGAGTCTGAGAGGAGGTGGGGCAGAGACACCTGAGCCCCCCCATGAGGGATTAGCTTTGAGTTGGAGAAGGCATCTTAACCTTGGTTGAATAGGAAACCAGTACAGATGTCTGTCTGTTAGTAGGAAGTGGGAAATTGAAATCGTTCATCCCTCAGAGCCTGATCTCTGTGAAAAGCAGAAGTCACCATGAGTATAAGGAAGGTTTGGAAAACTCGTGAGTAGGATGGGAGCAGGACAGGGAGATTCTAGGGACATGGAGAGGGACAAAGGGTCATCAGGTATGGAGGGCTCAGCTGAGGTTAGAGGCCATGGGTTGTTAGTGGTCCCAAATCTGTACCCAGAGCCTAGGACAGCTTTGGCACTTAGAATGTGTTAAAAAATACTTGTTGCGTGAATGGATAAATATGGTCATATTGTGTGTTTTTTCTCTAGCAGTGCTCAGCAGCCCTTTGCTGGAGTGGAGAAGGGTGGGGTTTGAGAGCAGGTATTGTGAAAGGAGCAGTTGAGTGTGCTGATGAGATAGTGATCGATAGTGATGATCTCAAAGTTTAGTCTGGAAAGAAAAGGAAATTACCTGCAGGGGCGGAGAGGGCAGGGCTGCCCTAGACTGCCAATACAGTCCCGCCCCAGGGTCAGCTCCACGCACTCCCGCAAGCGCCGCCATGCACCTAGGGTCCCAACCCAGCCCGGCTCCTAGTCTTCGGTCGGGGCATGGGCAGGCGGCCCGGCTTCACTCTCGCTCTGTCCTTCGGTCATCGGGTTCGAACCTGCATTCTGGAGAATGGCGCCTATTTCCCGTTCAATGTCTTCCAGTGCGCGTAGCCGCTCGTTCGCCAGGCTGTAGGTAGCCATTGTCACTCTGGGATTCCTCC